TTCCGTGAGATTCCCCATGTCCTCCTCTTCCTCTTCTTCCTCTATGCATGACTGAAGTATGTGAGTCACATATTCCAAGAGCAGTAAATGAAACAGATGCCAGGAGCCTACATTTAATCAACAACCCACGATAAATGCATTTGGTAGGTAGAGAGATGACAGACAATAATCACCGGGGAGCCGACAGTTTTCCTGGGGTTTTGACTCCTGTGCAGTAGAGCATCATGATTTCTAGAACTGAGCCAGAAGGGCCACTCTTGCAGCAAACCATGCCCAGGATCCCCCGTGGGGCAGTTTGGGGACAGAAGGGACAGAAATCTAAATAGCAGACCTTGAAATCCACTTAGTGTGAGATGGGAGAGAAGCGTGTCCCACAGAGAAACGGGCTTTGTTTTGCGCCCAGAGCTGGAGACGGTGTTCCTTTCACCGTACATAAAAGAAAGTATGATTAACGTTTGCCCGAGAAATGGAGGGGACGAGCTGAACTTTTGCAATTGTGAAAAGGTAACTTTTTTTTTTCTTTTTTGCTAGGGTGCATGTGCTTGCCAGAGAGAGAGAGACAAAGGGAGAGGGAGAGGAGAGGAGAAAGCGCCCCTCCATGGGACATGGTTACACCACAATCCCTTCTCCTCCGTTTTTCCCCCACAGGGATTCTGGGCACATGTGCATATGCACCCAGCATCTTTCTCAAATCGCTGGGTCCGGGACTCGAACTGCATGGTCAGCTGTGTGGGATCCAGCTGCCTTAGCCACCAGGCCATGGAGCTGACCCAAATAACTTAAATAAAGGTAAAATCGTAGCTCTTATACAGATATAAAATGAACACGTGTCTAAAACTTCAACTCCTGACTCGGTGAAGGAATGAGTAAGATGCTGCTATTGGTTCAAAGGAGAATTTAAAGTATGAAACATACATAGGCAGTCAAGAAAGGTGGCATTAATTTATAAAACGATGCAAAACAGATCTGTCCTTGTGGCAGTGATCCATCGCAGCCCTCTGACTGGCTAGCCTGCACCTCCGTGGATAAGCACCATTTGCATTACGACATAGTGTTGTAAAACAGCTCAGAGACAGTGAGAAAGGGAGGTATGCCAAAGGGCGTGCTGGGCCTTTGTGTCCGTCTCAAAGCCCTTTTTCTATTTCAAACAATCTTGCTGTCCATTTGGAAGCCTTTCCATTTTTCTCTGCACAGCATTGGTTATTCCTTGATGGATCTGGGGTGGGAGATACTGCCCCTGTGGGCTGGCACAGCCCAGCTTGCTGTAGGCTTGACTAGCAATAACTGGCCTATCAAACCTCGGGAAAACCACAGTCCTTGGGAAGAGGGCAAACTACTGATACTAATACTTCCACTTCATATGGAAGTCCAGGGAAGGGAGGCTGGGAGAGCAATGGCAACTACAGGGCTGGGGGTTTCATTCTGTGATTGCAATGAACTCTGCTCCAGCTCTTTGCTCTGGGAGAGCTTTAATTTGGACTTATTAAAGGGGAAGACATTATTATAAATGGGTGTCACCTGCAGAGTAGCTTACAGCAGCAACCCTCAGAAGGGCTCCTGGGTGTTTGCAAAGCTGGTCCAGAATAGGGCTTGCCTTCTCCCTTGTTCTTCACATCCACTGTGAGAGCCCCTGTCTGGGGCAGGGATTCCTTGTCCTGCCCTGTGTGCACTCTTCAAGGGATGGGACTTTGTTTCTCCACTGCTGTATGCCCAGTGCTCAAGGAGGGACCACACACACATTGCAGGCATGTGACGCTCCATTCCACGAAGCTGGAGTTATCAACTTCCCTTTCTACGGCCCTCCTTATGCTGTATCTGTGTCAATAATGTGACCTTCCCCAACAGAGGAAGATGACTTTTTTTTATAGGGTGTCCCGTGGTGTTTTGATACATGTATACACTGAAAAACAATCAGGGCACTATCACCGGCATATTGATCACCTTAAACATGTACCATTTCTTTGTTGTGAGGTCATTCCAAGTATTCAACCAGGAAGTTTGCAAAATGCATCCGATTTTCTTCTTTCCACCATCTGCTTCCGATGGCAGCATTTTAGCCCCTGTTTCTGAAAGTTCAATATGGGTGCTCAGACGATCTGTTTGTTTTTTGGGGGCGGGGGAGCAGGTGACATGGTGGTTAAGGTGCTGGACTCCCACATAGCCTACTGCAGTTTGAGTCCCGAACTTGGCAGCTTGCTTTCTCACTTTCTCTCTCTCTCTGATGAGTGCATGTGCCCTATGGCAAAGTGAAAATAATAATAATAAATAAAACTGAATAAATAATTCTTTAAAACATTTATTTTTCTCCAACTCAGTTTTCTCTCATGATGCTTTTCTCAAAATGTCACAAACCACATAATCCAAAAACAAGAGGAGGTTCCCTATGCGGCCAACAAGGATGAACTGAGGAAGGGAGGCATGGAACATTTATTCAGTGGACCATCTCGTGGCTGCCAAGAAAAAAGGTGGCTCCATGTGATGTTCTGTAGCTATGTTGTCTTTTACACAAAAAGGGTAAAAGAAGATGACTTGATGCTACACAGCAGTATGTGAAGTACTTAAGCTATAACAAGAGCTTTCAAAGATAGCATACGAAATGCTTCTGTGGTCTCTGACTTACCGAAACTGTCTCTGTGGCAGAGGGTCATGGCTTTGCTCACTGCAGTGAGAAGGAAATTCCACCGTAGCTGGAAGTTGGCAGCCCGTCTGATAAACTCCTCTTTGTTTCTGCTTGGCTGTTGGATTTTCGTGAGAGAAAATGCAGGGGTTTAATGATAAAATCAAGGAAATAGCGTGTTTTCAAGTGCACACGTTTGTCATGCACAGGCCAAACCCAAAAGGAGGAGGCGGAGGAGGAGGGAGAGGAGAGAACTGAGGCAGCAAACTTGAGCCTATTTCAGGTCGACCGCGGTTTGAGTCCCGGACCCGGCGGCTTAAACTCACGCTAGGTGCATGTGCGTGCGTGCGTGCCCAAGATCCCGAGAGGAGAATGGAGGAGAAGGGATTGTGGCGTGACCATACCCCACGGAGGGTGATTTCTCGCTTTCTATCTCTGTCCCTCTCTGTCTGTCTGGCGGGCGCACGCGCCCTATAGCAAAAACCTCTCAAAAAAAAGGTCATTTGTGAAGTGTGTTCAGTAGAATGTCTGGAGGCCATTGATTTAGACTGAGTTTCTGCCCCAACAGATCAAACCAAAATGGAGGCACCCAGGCTAATGCTCCACATCACCACGCCAAAACTACGCACGCAGCTTGCCTGACCTGAGAAATCAGGAGACGCAGAGAGAGGTCATAGCCAAGTCCTCAAAACAGACCATGTTCAGCCAGCATGATCGGGACGTACTCTCTGCTTAGCCTTGACAAGGAGAGTAGCCTTGAAATGATGAATTGCCTTTTAGCTCTTTGTTCCTGCTTTCCTGTCTATAAACACCGCCTGTGTCGTAGAGCAGAGCTCTCTGAACCTCTTCTGGTTCTGAGGATTGCTCCATTCATGAACCGTTCTTTGCTGGAATAAACCCTGTCAACTTGAATTTTACTAACATTTTCCTTTCATCGAGCACAGAGAAGCACTGGGGCATCCTCACTGCAGTCCACTTGGGAATGGCTATGGAGCGGGCGGGTGGTTATTTTATACTCGGGGACAGAGTCCCGTAATAATGTCCAGTCGGGGTGCTTATCTGGGAAAGTGTAACACTGGCACTGCCCGGTGGAAACATTCTCCAGAATGGACGGTCCCCCACCCCTGCTTCCCGCGGGGCTGAGGTCATCCGGCAGCCTGAGTAGCACTAAGTGTGGCTCCAGTGGGACGCCTCTACATGCAGACTAAGAGTCTCTCGTCTAGACAGAGCAGGTCTGGGCGGCACTTGGCGGTGACCCACAGACCATGGAGTCACATGGGTTTTAGAAGCACCTGCTGATAGGCATGTGCCGAGGCCTCTAAGTCTCGGTCCTGTGCCTTGTAGACCACCCACTGGCTCAGCCTCATGCCTTTGAACGAGAGATGGGGAGAGTAGTCATGCTCTTTCTTTCCGTAGACATTGAGATAGGGCACTTGTGCTCGCCAGAGAGCGATAAGGAGAGGGAAAGAAAAGGAAAGAGAAAGTGAGAACGTACCCTCCTGGGCGGACGGCCACATGGCAATCCCTCCTTCTCCATTCTCCTCTTGGGATTTTGGGAATGCATGCACAGATGCCCGACATGTTTTTCAAGCCACCAGGTCTGAGACTTAAACTGCAATTGGCCACATGGGATCTAGCAGTCTCAACCTCCACACCACCTGCTGGCCCACAGCGCTTTTTATTGCTGTTGCTTTTCTTTCTTTTGGTCCCACCAAAAGCCCCCAGCATGCCAATAGTTTGCCCTGAGCTTTGGGTGGTCATGAACCCCCTGCAGCAGCAACTGAAGTAACTCTTCCCCTGTGTTTCTCCTCATCTGAAGCAGGGCTTTGGGGAGGAGCGCCTCCCAGTCGTGTTCAACGGAGCCCTTAGGGTTGGAGGGATGATGGGAGTACAAAGAGCCCAGGGATACTCTCCAAGCGTGGAGGGAACTGGCTCTAGGCGACCACACTCTCTCTGCACAAACATTCAGACATCAACTGTCACCACCACTAAGCCTCCCCGCCTTCACCACCACAGTGGCACCTCGAGAGCCTCTACTTGAAAACTATTTTTAGGCCTGGAATGCAGGAGAACAGTGGGAACAAAACACACAAGCAAGTTGGCAGTTCCCTCTGCTCGCATACTGAAGCCGTTAGTCATCTCTGATAAGCCCAGGGCTTTGCGGTTTAACAGCCTGAGGATTTTACTGACAATAGTCTGATCTTTTTTTTTTTCCTTTTTTTGGAGAGGTTTTTGCTATAGGGTGTGTGCGCCCACCAGAAAGACAGAGCGAGACAGAGACAGAAAGCAAGAAATCACCCCCCAGAGGGGATGGCCACACTGCAATCCCTTCTCCTCCATTCTCCTCTCAGGATCTTGGGCACACAAGCACACACGCCCGGCATGAGGTTAACCCACCAGGTCCGGGACTCGAACCATGGTCGACTACATGGGAGTCCAGCAACATAGCCATTATGCCAATTGCTGGTCCCCTATTGTCCATTTTTTAAGAATTATTTATTCAATTTTATTTATTATTGTTATTACTTTTATTTTTAAATTTGCTATAGGGCACATGCGCTCACCAGAAAGAGACAGAGAGTGAGAGAAAGTAAGAAAGAAAGCCACCAGATCTAGGACTCAAACCATGATTGACCATGTGGGAGTCCAGCACCTTAACTGCCATGGCACCTATTGGCCCCTTGACTGTGGCTTTTAGCAAACCTCAGAGGGCAAATCATTTTACTCCAGCAGTGCACACAGGCTCTTATGCACTCTTACTCACACACATGCACACACTCAGGCTCACTCTCATGCACACGCACCCACCTGCATGCTTACACCCACCCACGCTCAACCCTAAACTCGAACACATGTCCACCTACATGTTCACACACATGCATGCTCTTTCTCTCTCACACATCTGCTTGACATTCCCCCTCCCAATTTTTGGCCTTGCAGAAGTGAGAGGCGGTTGCCTGTCCTCACATTCCTGCCAGCCTGGGCTCATTTACGGCTGAGCCTGACAATCCTCTTTCTCCACCCCCAGGCAACAGATCCTTGGGGCTATAATTTATCATAGCTAGGATGATTACGTGCACTCCTTTCCTTAAAAAACAAACAAACAAAAAGCACAAGCAATCAGTTTTGTACCTGGAAGACAAATACTTGGAGGTGTGTAGATAGACAATTCAGGAATACACTGAGATCTGCTGATGTTCCCAGCAAAGAGATTACACTGCTTAAACCTGCAAAGAAACACAATGACACAATGAAAGGGCTGCCAGAGTTTCCCTGTAGGTAAGTGTATACTTTTCGCTCATTTTGAGCACAAAGGTCGGGCTGTAAGGTTGGCCTGGTCATCTCCCACAGAATCGCAGTCCTGCCTGCGAGGGACACTCTGCCTCTCGTTGAAATGGATGGACATGTTTTGAAACCATAATTACATCTTGTCATCGCGCGGATCTCATCTTCAGATGAGATCATTTCACGACACAGACATGACGTCACCTGTCCTTGCCATGTTCACAGAAGGCTAGCTGATTAAGGCCTTAAGTGATGGCAGGCATCAAAGGTGCTGAGACTAAGCCGCTCGCCTGGGGCTGCATTGTCAGGTGGGGCCCGAGCACCGCTGAGATGTCAGGGCTTGAGGACTCTACCTGCACAGGAAGTGCTGACAGAGAAAAAGTGGCCAGAAATTCAAGTGAGTTGCTGTGGACCCAGCTGAGGCGTGGTCGAGTGCACCTGGACTGGGGAAACCTTTGCTAGCCAGGTCTCGGCGATGGCCGTAAGTGTGCTGTGTCCCTGCAGAGTCTGCGTCTTTCAGATGCCACCAGGCCAGCAAGAAGGGACACAGGGGGCCTTCTGCTTTCCTGGGGGCTCCCTGGACTTGGGTAAAAAAAGGATTGGGAGGGACCAGCAGTTGGCATAATGGCTATGTCGCTGGACTCCCATGTAGTTGACCGTGGTTCGAGTCCTGAATCTGGTGGTTTAAACTCATGCCACATGTGCATGACCAAGATCCCCAGAGGAGAATAGAGGAGAAGGGATTGCAACATGGCCATCCCCCCTGGGGGGTGATCTCTCTCTTTCTTTCTCTCTCTGTCTTTCTGGTGAATGGACACATCCTATAGCTAAAACCTCTCAAAAAAAAACCCGAAAAGGATTGGGGTGGCCATTTGGGTTTCTAGGGGAGCCGGTGGTCTGGGAGGGGGACTTCAGTCTATTCTAATCAGGTCTTTCTTAACTGGGAAGTCTGCTGGGTTAGAGGGCAACCTTTCAATTACTAGATTGGAGGAAAGAGGAATGCCAGAAGGGACCATCTGGGATTGGGTCAGCTCCTGGAAGAGGTGCCGGGGACAAAGTGGGGGGGACACAGGTTATTTCCCAAGCATGGAGGGGTCTCAATATTTTAATATGAGTATGACCCCATACAAAGTGAACCCCAATTCAAGGTGTAAGAAAGAATATGGGATAGTTTATGGGTGATGCTTTTCCGTATTGCTGAATCCACAGATCTAGAATGAGATAATACAGTACTGCCAAACACAGAACCATGCTGGGCGGCTCAAGTGGAAGACTCAGCTGACCCCTTGAAGGAACTCAGGGGTACCAGGCAGGTAACCTGATACTCAGCTGAGTGTCCAGAAGGGGGCGTCCTCGTGCATCCCGGGAGTGAGCATTTAGGAAGGGCCAGCTGGAGCTGGCACCCGCGGTGCCCGCCTAGTAAATGTCACAGGGAGGTCTCGGCCATGACTGGGGGAGGGAGCACGACCGTTCTGCAGCCCCCTCCTGAAGCAGCTCGCAGGTGCCCTCTGCCTCTGAAGACTTGCTCCTCTCTCTGCTTCCCCCCAGGGGATGAACATGATGTTGCCAAGCTCTTTACAGAACGGAGACCTTTTCCTTGAAAATCACAGGGGGCGTGTGGGTACTACAGGTCATCGTGCAGCTGGGCCCTGTGGCAAAGGCCCTGCAGTCATTTCCTGGAACTGCCCTGAGCCCTGCAGGCGAGCCCATGGCCTGGGCTGCTGGAGCCCGGGGTGGGTGGTGGTGTGAGGATCCCAGTGGGTCTGCCTCTCTTTCTCATGGAAAAAATAATGGACAAACTTTAAAAAATGATAATTATCAGATAGAAAATGACCAAAAAAAAAAAAATAGCCCCATACTTAAATCACTAGTTTGTAAAAATAGTGACACTGCTAACAGCCACCGCAGAACTGGGGGCAGGGCAGGGGTGAGGGTGGGGGCGGGAGGCAGCGCTAACTCAGTCTGACTCCGCTGTGATCAAAAGGACATTGGAATCTGAGTATTACGAGATGGATGCAGAAGTGATTTTTCTTTCTCTCCCGAAGGAGAAATTCCAGGAAGAAATGTGGTCAAATAGGCTGGTCTGCTCATCGTGTACCCAGTGTGTGTGAGCCCTGGCGCCCTTCCCCACGGGGATGGTTCTGGAAGTCCAGGCCAGGGGCCATTCCGGGGGCACCCACTGTCCCCTGCAGGAAGAGCTGTGTGCGCAGATAGGCGAGAACATCAAAGAGAAAACATCTGTGGAGAAGTCCGCAGATTAGTGGGGCCGTGCTGGCTCCGACAGAGGCGGCCGCAGAGGGAGATTACATTTCATCGCCGTGTTGTTCTCCGGGTCCTCGGTGTCACTCGGGTCACTTGCCAGGGCCTGCTCGGAAACATCCAAAGCACCTTGAGTGATGACGGCGTGTAAATCGGACTTCAGAGCGCTGACTCGCCGGCTGCTTTTCAACACCATCCTCATGGTCTGCAGAAAACGGGGAGGCACGGGCCTCAGTTCAGCCTCGTCATTTTGCTTTCGCCCTCCTCTCCCAGCTGCCGAGATGGCAGATTTCTCTTCATTTTTATTTATTTATTTATTTATTTTTTTGAGGAGAAACAAAAGGAGATTTAGGTTTTATCTACTAAAATCGAACCTTGAACAATAATTAAAATGCTAATATTTCACACATTCTAGAGCAGC